TATACCTTGTGCTTTGGAAGCATTCTGTGGGGCTTCACCTTTGACCACATCTCTCAGTGTATCAGCACAGCAGGACGTCCACAGCACAAGCACACTAATTGATTCAGCCATAGCAGCTGTGGGTAGTATTATTAACTTAAGTATTTTCATAAAAGGCTTAGTAATAGCCTGCTACCCCCCTCCCCCCTTGGAATATCTTAATAATTGTAGACGACTTTCAGGCAGCCAAACGCAGTTTTTGTCTGCGGGGTTTTCGTTTGCTTTCACGTCAAGGACCGGGAGGCACAACTAATGTTTTCTTTTCCCTCTGCGATTCAACACTTAGGGATCTGTGGCCGGGCGACACCTCATTAACATTAATGTGTGGACAGCCAAAAGCTATCGAGTGAGATTAATCAAAACAAAAAAATAAACTGAATGTTTAAACGCGTTTGACCCCAGCCATCATTATATAGTAATATAATATCTCTATGAATGCAGACTCTAACACCCAAACAGCCAAATGGATTATAAGCATTTTGATGAAATGTCAAATTTATTTAGATGCATTTTGTTAGTCATAGCTCATGGAGAACTGCTGCGCAATGAATTATTCAGGGTTTTTTTTTGTGGGATATCACCTGCTTGGTCGACTGAGACAGTTCTCTATAAGCCAAGGCTGGTGCATTTCACCATCATTTAACAGTCTATTTCAAGTAATGGCAAAAATGGCAAACATCTATCCTCGTTTGTGTTTGCTGTGTCTATGGTAACGGATTCCCAGATGGCGTTTCCTGCTATAATGTGCGAGTGGGGGGGGTTAGCTTGTCATTCTAGATCCTAAAACACATTCCAGGCTACCGATGACCAACTCTGGATTGGCTGTCCCCTCTGTACAGGCAGGCTGACTTCCTGGATTTTTTAAATAAATATTTATGTTGATATTATACCAGAGACCTTTTAAGGCATAAATCAAGTACACTTTGGATAGATTGTTTGCGCCAGTTTGTGTCTGTTCTTTTTAAACGTATCAGTCACAGTCAGCAAGGAAAGGCACTTTAAGATTCATAAGGTTTTGATAGGACTGATTTGATAATTAAAGGCGACGGATAAATTGCTCTAGTAATTACAGTCCTGCTACAAACCCCTTATTCCTTGTGGCCCCTCTGAATACTAATGAGGCAACAATGTCAGAACCACTTTGTTGAGTCCTTCCATTGACCAAACAGCAACCAATTGTTTTCACCTACTGTTTAAATTTAGATTACAGATGCATGACATTAATATGCCCAGTTTTTAAAAAACTGAAAAATGTAGTTTTCTGCTTGCAATTTTACATAAGTTCAATGATATTATGCAGAAAAAATAGTCATATTTATTGCATTTAGTGTGGTATATACTGAAATAGTAGAGCAAATCAGCAGTGCTTTTATAAGCTTAAACTTTGGTTAGGCTATTGGATGTTATTCTTCCATATTTTGACATCACCCTAACAATAAAGTAATAGTAATAATTTTAATATTAACGTGATATCAGTATCACAGGTTTGGACATCAGAAGCAAAGGGAACATTCAGGACACACAGTGAGACATTTGTGTTTAGGTGAAAGTGTGCGCTTGGGTGACTGTGCGTGCGCGCGGATGACCGCGTGCCTGGGTGACTGCGCGCTTGGGTGACTGTGCGTGCTTGGGTGACTGTGCGTGCGCGCGGATGACCGCGTGCCTGGGTGACTGCGCGCTTGGGTGACTGTGCGTGCACGCGGATGACTGCGTGCCTGGGTGANGTGACTGTGCGTGCGCGCGGATGACCGCGTGCCTGGGTGACTGCGCGCTTGGGTGACTGTGCGTGCACGCGGATGACTGCGTGCCTGGGTGACTGCGCGTGCCTGGGTGACTGCGTGCACTTGGGTGACTGTGCGCGCGGATGACTGTGCGCGCGGATGACTGTGCGCGCGCGGGTGACTGTATCACAGAGACTCTATTTCGCAAGCAAGCAGTAGCCATTTCTACAGGACCAGACAGGCAGAGCGTGATAGGTGGTGTGTTCCTCATCGATGAAATTTAAGGCTGAGAACCTGACACTGGGTCACTTCATACCTCTGTGGTTGTGGGCTGATGATAAACAATGTCGCTGTGATTTCACTCTGGAAACCTGTCCCCGTATGTGCTATGAGTGGTTCTCCTTCTCCATTACTGTCAGCAAGGACTTTCAAAATATTTATAAACTGTACATGTCACATAGGATGTTGCGTTTACAGCACCGGAAGAGACAGTATATGAAACAAAGCCTGCTGTCTCCCATCATGAATCGTTGTCAGCTGGTCTGATAAGAAGGAGCCAAGCAGTGAGCCAATGAGGGAGCAGTTGGGGCCCTTCTGGGGTAAATGTAGGCTGTAGATTTATACCAACAGCAGGAATGAAATTTTTAATTTGACCCCTTGGCCTGTGAAAGAGGCACTAATTGGTTCACTGTGGAGCTTCGGTGTTAAGTCTCTTCAGGAAGAAACAGGAATAGGAGACCTCAGGCACCAACCTTTAGGTCACCTGGGGTGACCCCTCTCCCATCTGGAGAGGTGTGTGTGACTGTCTACTGTCTTTGAGAAAGGGACTGAAAAGTAGCATGAATCCTAATTGGCCATGAAGGAAGCTCTTAACTGCAATAACAAAACGTTTTTTGGTCCACTGAACCTAATCCGGTAATTATGCAACAATAATTCCATAGTGATGGACACCTGAGAAACAGGCCTTGGCTATTAGCAGTTAGAGTCTCTGTCTTTCGCTTGGAAGTTTGAGTTGAAGACTCACTACTGGCCAAGATTGCTGTTATACATTACCGTGAAATATAAAAATATAGGAGCTTGCTCTGAGAAAATTTAAGTAAGTTAAGTAAGAATATATCACTCATTATGATTGTCTATATTAATAGCCACTTCTGATAATTAAATCATAGTGCTTTCGGTTTTGATGAATTGTGGTCTTGACCATAGAAATAATTATATTTTGTGGTATTAACCCATATTTTACAGCACTTGGAGTGCAGTGTGATATTAAATATCCATCCATTCTCCAGCGCTTATCCAGGTTCAGGTCATGGGGATATTGAATATTGGTTATCTTAAATCTGCAGAGCAGATGAACTTTCAGATTCATTTACTATTGTATACAAAATATTCCCCAGACACTGGAGATTTCGCAACCCTGGTAATTTGTTGGGGTGATTTATTTTTATTTGACCTGTCTTCTGGTCTCAGAAGCGTGCTATTTCTTGAGATGATAGGAAAGATGATACAAAATGCATAAAGTTGCAGTTGTGCAGCGCGTGATTTATGAAGAGAAAGTGTGCGTTTATAAGTCATTGAAGCATGTAATTACACTCGATTGAATATTTGACGTATATCTCTATATTTCAGTCTGTTCTACTACGGTTTAAAACATAATTAAGAGCTACGCCTACATGAAATACTCCTACCCACAGGAGTGTGACGATACATTAAATGTGGGTAATTGGAAATTGCATAATGAAGAGAAAATTAGTGAATATTACTATTTTGCAAATATGTCATGCAGTTTCAATTGGAACCTCTAAGCCACTTCAGCATTTTTACAAAACCAGTGAAAATGTCAGTTCCGTATTTCCACCAAGCGATATCACCCTATAATGAATGATGCGGCAAAATAGCAGATACAGAAAAAGGGAACCATTCATCCGTTTTTTAAGCAGCTTATCTAATACATTGTCGCAGTCACTCTGGCTGCTATCCCAGGATGCACAGGGGCGTGAGGCAGGGTGCAAGCTTGACGGTGCGCCAGTCCAAGCTCAAAGAAATGAGATCCTGTAATCTCAGAGTTGTCGTGTGCTAAACAGAGTGATTATGCTGATTCCTTTAGCAAAAGTGAATACAGAATAAGGTGGCACCATAACTATTACTCTAGACTTACACCTCTAGAGTAGTGTGCATAGCTCCCCAGGATTGCACAAGTTTCTGTTGGGAACTCAGATTTCTTTCCACAGTTCAAAGACAAGCTGTTATATTAATTGACATTTCTAAATTGCATTCAATTATGATTTTGGCTTCCAGCGATTATAAAAGCAAAATAATCTAGATAAAATGATTATTGTGCCACATTTCGTTTTGCAATGATACTCCGTTTTGTCTTGCATTATAAATCCAGCGCACCCTTTCCAGCCCAATTGGCCAGAGCTCCTGGAAATCTACTGTTAAAAAGAGAAATTTTTAAATAAATTTAACAAATGCAAGATATTTCCAACGTCAATGAGTAATCTCGTTAAATAATCGTGATCTCAGTATTGACCAAAAGTAATCATGATCATGTTTTTTGGTAAGGTCGAACAGCTCTATGAGCCCTATGCGAATAAACGGTAGCAAAATGTGATGGTGAATGGAAATAGAGTAGCTCTACAATGCCTTCTCCGCCTCAGCCTCACCATTAGTGTCACCTCACCCATGGGGTCACTATCACGACAATCATGTCGTGCAAACTTAAGAAAGAAATATAATCTAATTAGAGAACAATAATGAAAAAAAACTTTTTTTTTTTTTTTTTACCAAAGATGGGTAGGAGGCACTGGGCAGGTGCAGAGCAAAAATAGCTGAAAATGTGTGAATTTTAAAGCAGTACATTTCTTGTGATACTTGCATTGTTTGGGTAGTGGTTTTAGCAGGTCGTCCTTAAAAACGGGCTGTAATTATCAGAACTGGGTATTTCTCACTAGTTCCCTTCCTATTGATTCAGTTTTTTCCTTCACATTCTTGCACTTCTCGTCACCAGAGGGTTTACGTGTGTTTTATGGGACAGGAATCATACTGAGCTCTTAACTATGTTTTCCACAACATAGTTCTGCCTTTTTCCTCCATCAGTCACTGCTTTCTATGTCCCCTCATGACAATAAAACAGGAAACTGCACATCAAACACCACAGGAGCTCGATGGTGGAGGTCAGCTCTCTGTCTCTAATGGCCCCCGTCTCTCTCTCTCTTTCGCTCTCTCTCTATCCTGCAGGACCCCTCGTTCCCCTTGCTACTCCATGATAAGCTCCAGGTCCCCAACAGCACACGCAAGGCCTGGAGCGAGCGGGACAGCCGCTGCGACGTCTGCGCCACCCACCTCAGCCAGCTGAAGCAGGAGGCTGTCCACATGGTCCTCACCCTGGAGCAGAATGATAGGTCCCCCGGCTCGCCCCCGGGGCCAGCCGGCCACCGGGGAGCCACGCCCCGCGACTGGGCTCACCTCCCAAGCGCTGGCTCTTCCACCTCAGCCCCCGGAGCTGGCCCCGGCCATACCAAACACGGGTCCAAACCGAACAGCTTGGGTGTGGGTAGCAGGGTGGACAAGAAGAACGGCTCTCCTGATCATGTGACCAAGCCCCACCCCCCCGGCCTGAGCAATGGCAACGGGAACATCGTCAGCTCAGGGGCCACACAGCCACCCCTGTATCTGGATACCAACTGGTCCATGTCCTGTGCCAATGGTGTCACTCTTTACCCATATCAGGTATGTGATCATTGTCATCGTCACAGCATTTCATTCTTATTATTCAGCACAATTAAGCAACATGTCTCCCCCAAATGAAAACCTCAAATCCTCAGAATTCTAACACCTCCTAAATTATATAAGCATTTGACTGGAAGGCAGCCAGACCTATTTCACAGCATGTATAAGTCCCAGGTTTCCATAGAAGAGTCTCACCTCCTGCATGGACACGTTGCTGTGTACATTTCACAGCCTGGAACCCCCTGCTACAGCTGGCTATGTGCTTCCCTGCTGGATGCCTGGCTGGTCCTTCAGGGATGGAGCCCTGCTGGGGTTAGAGTGCATTCTAATTATTATTTGATTAACATCGGAGATGCCGGATGAGTTGACTGGCTCCCCATATACTTACTTCAGTAGAGCTTGGACTAAATATAGAGCAGTAGACCTTCTAGGTGCTGGAAACCCTGTTTGGAAGTTTATTAATATGCCAGTGCTACTGTGTGTCTCCTTTTTATAGATTGTCTCTATGTGATTTGTGGGCATTTCTCTAGCATTAGTATGAACTGTATTGGAAATTAATTTTGGTGGGGGGGGGGGGCTAAAGTCATTTCTGGGGCCCTACCTATAAGATAAAATGGACAATCTGCAACTTGGGGTTAGTCCATGTGTATGTCTAGCCTTGATTATTGCAACATCTGGTGATATTTATTTGGACATCTATCCATATTCAGCATCTCCTTATCCAGCACATGTTCTTTGTGGACAGGCAGCCTATTCCAGGAACTGGGGAAACCCTGCAAACTGAATGCAAATGATGGCCTTGTTTCCATCGCTTTGTCTTTCTGTGACTGAGAAGGATGTTAATAGCTTTGCACTCAGACTATGCTTAAGGCAACGGTATTCCACAAAGAAACAAAATGTGTGTAAATTGCTCCTGCTATTAGGAAGGCAGATCCAGTCTCCTTAGTCAAATGTGAATAATCAAATATGGCCTTTACCAGTTCAGCTGCGTCTACCACCTCTACAGCCTGACCAAGTAATTAGGGTGCAGGGTGTGATAACCTTGGGGAGTGTTAGCCTACGACTGGAAGGCCCAGGCTGCTGAGATAAAGATGGGCTGGCAAGGCAAACATGACCAGGAGAGAACCACAGAGAGGTGAATTAAAAAAAAAAACAAGCGATAGACAGATAAGGGTTTAATGATACTGTAGTACATGGTCAGGCTGTGGCTCTCCAGACATGCTCATTGACTGATAGCCACATGTGATGTGATTCATTAGGAATGAACAATATTAACTGGGGTGATGAAGCCTCAGTGGCTCTTATTCACAAGGTCATGGTGTATCCTCTACAAGGTCGTCCTGTCAGTAGTGCACATTTTGCAAGCTCAGGAGTGTTTGAATGATAATGACCAATTATGCAAAATTACAGAGACAGGTGGCAGTAGAGATAATGTGGGTTTAGGAGAGAAAGAAGGGAGAGTGAGAATAGTTGTGACAGACCTATGTCACCTGCTAGAGTGGAGGCTTCAGTGTCAGATCTTAGCATCTGTTTTTAAAACCTCATCCTTTAGCATATGTAGCCAAGACTGGTTATTGAACATGTTGCCTTGGAGATTTGTTTTGCAGATGTTGAGGAATTGCTCTGTTGGTATTCATATGAGCTATGCTGCCATTCATTGAGATTATTTGATGAATCTAGAGATGATTTTCCTGCAGAGCAGCTGGTGAATTAACATACGGCCAAACTTCCTGTATAAGTACATGAAAAAGTGCAGAAAAAGTGCAGCATTCCTCTATCATAAAGGTCACATGGCATGTATTTGAAGAAGAAGCCACATCAGTGATCTTTGCCCTTTCACTGGACAAACTTACATGTGTAAAACCTAAAGGCTCCTGGGCATCTTATTCTGTTAGGCTGAAGAGAATCCTGGTTTCTGTAGCGGCTATTTACATTTGCTATTAAACCCCCTTCGACACAACATAACAACTCTTGCTATTAAATTTCGGTGCAAGGCTACATGCTCTTGGGCCGCCAGTGATTTGACCCATCTGGTGCCCTAGAGGCTGTGAGGAAACTAAGTCCTGCATTCACAGTGCATCAGGAGACAGGAATTCACAGAAAACCAAACAAATCCTGGAGCTAAAGAGATCCAGCACATTATGAGCCGATAATCCTGCATGTCTTATTTCATTAAGGTGGATGTTCGTGAACAAAATGAAAAGGAAAATTTTGCTTGCAAACTGAAGGCAGGCATACATCATTAAATTTGTGCAATTAGTCATCTTATGGGACTTTGATCTGACTGGCCTGTGTTAGCTAGCTAGCTTCCATGGTTAGCATATAAGTTTGCATAATGAAAATAACAGGAAATGGGTAATGAGTACATATCTCAATGTTGAAGTGAGCGTGACAGGAATTCGGCTTTAAGAAAGGTTTAGTTACCGGAGAATCGACCGTTCAATTAGGATAGCAATGCTTCAGCATAACAGATAGTTACACAGCAATGCTTCAGCATAACAGGAAGTTACACAGCAATGCTTCAGCATAACAGGAAGTTACACGTATTACTCGCGTTTGCTGTGACTTTCATACCCCTCCATTTTAGTTTAGGATCATGCAAGAGCTTACTGAGTTCTGCCTGATTGGCACAAAACATTTTAAGCTTGTTGTTTTTTGATGGCCCAAAAGCTATTTGCTAATTTTCTTGCTTTAAGTTGCTTCAATTCTGTTGTCTCAATTCAATTACTTTCAAGCCCTGAAGTACACTTGAAGTAGCAACCTCTCCTGATTCCTAAAATCCATAAATGAGCAGAGATAGTGGCTTCAGCTGACACATCAGTGCATGAGGCCATACACACCCCTGCTGAGACACCCCCCTTGGGCCCATCTTGACAGATGCCACTGGTGCTAACCAATGAGAAGCGAGAAGGTGGAGTGCATTCCATTGAATCTCCAACCTTTGCACGTGTTCCCCAACAGTGACTGGCTTCCTTATTAATTGCTTGTCACATGGGAAAGGGCAGGACAGTATGATGAAATACACAATAAGACTGGCCAACAGAGACCACACAGCCCATTGGTGTGATTTTACAGCAGCTTTCCAGGAAAAAGGGTTTATATTTATGGAGCAGAGTGTCATTATGTTACTGTCAATAATTGTAGCTAAACTCTGTCTTAAACAGATGCTTTTCAGATTACTGAATTGAGGTTTCATGCTACATATAAACTAAATACTGTATTATCAAAGGATGAAATATTTTAATGTCTTTTAATTAATACCAAAGCATAGGAAAATCATGAATTAGGAGGGAGACATTTGCTCATTTGCTTTCTTTGCATTTTAAGCTGAGTTTCTGCTATCAATTCTGTATTATGATAGATGAAATAACAGCAAACAATTTGACTGTTTCATTTTTTTTTCCATGGAAATGCTGTTTTTCCTTTTATTGAATTTGCAACATAAGCAAGTTTCATGGGTCTGTGGTGTCTGTAGAAATGACAAACAGACAAAGGAACAATCCCTTTTTGTTTTAGAAGGAACAGAGCCCTGCTTTGTGCTTAGGTCTTCTACATGCCTCCTTAAAACAAGAATAAATCAATAACAGGTCCTGGAATGAATACCTTTAAACAGAAACCCATGTGATGTTTCCTAGCACCAGGTTTTACTTTAGAATTGGGAGAATTGGTCAGAATCACAAACAGGACCCGGCAGACTTTTGATGTCTACGCTTCCCATTCATCATTTTTGATGTGCTGCAGAAGTCACGGTTTCACTCATTTCTCACGATCCAGGAGCGGTAAAATCTCCTTGTAGCATATCAACAGGTGAATTTGACATGTTTGGGATTCTATCCCCATTTTTTGCGGAACTACTGTGTTTTTGTTTTCATCTTGGGTGGGTAAGCATTCGGAGCCCTGCTGGTGTTCGTTGGAGGTCAGGAAATTCGCTTGTGCCATGCAGCATAAATGCAGAAATGGTCCCGGATGTTTGGAAAGTCTTTGGGCACACCCAGACTGAGACAACATCTCCCAGCATCATTTACCATTAGGCTTGTATTCCTATCTTCCTTGTTCCCCTACTTCCTCCCTCATTCGGTATATGACGCTAGGTCCCTATCTTCTCCTCAATCTGAATGAGTCCTCTGTGTCTTCTCTGTTTTTCATTGCTGTATACACTCCGGCCCAGCTTTGTTTCCTCTTGTCTTTCAGTGCGCCTAAGGGCATGTTTTGAAGTGCAGGAAGTTCTTTAGAGTTGCGTCGAAGACTCTTCAGGATAATGACAATTACCGCTGGCACTGGACTTTGTTATAAAAACAATTTGGACGCCACACACAGAGTTCGACATCCGCCACGAACCCTGTGCTGGCTCTTTTGAAACAGAGTGAGACAATTTGTTTCTACACTCCTCCATTCCCGGATGAACAATGTGTGCTGAATCCCCAGCTGCCTTGTTGACCTGAAGACACTGAGGCTGCATGCTGCTCCATAAAATAGGAGCCTTGTAGTGAAATTGTTAATTCTACCTACCATTATAGGCCAGGAAAATCCTGTTACCCTGGGCTACGCGTGTGTGGGGCAGGAGGGAAAAAAGACTCTTCTGATCACCAAGGCTTCGTTCTGGGGTATATCCAAAGCCTCTCTCACACAGCTTTTCCACAAACCTCGTTAAGCTATTAAGACACAAAAAAATTCTCATCCCGTGAGACTGAAAGCACGGTAAAGCAGGGTGTGGGACATGATTGGTCGATGTTCCTGGCTTTAACACAGGTCTTCAGACCCTCTTTCCTAGCTCTAAGGGCAGCCGTCAGTGTAAACCAGGAGGCCTGTCACTCTATGTTGCTCCCTGTATAACCCTAATTTACTAATTTCAGCACTGTGTTTATGGGAACCCAAGGTACAAGGATGGAAACATCTAGAGAGAGGTGACTGGGAGGAGGGGGAGGGGTTATGAAGCAGCAAGGTGATATAGTTGGACTGGTCATGGCTTAATTAAGATGGATGAGTGGGCTGGTCAATGCGAACGCTACAGCAGGGTCTGTGTGAGGAGCCACAGACTTGCTGAGCAATTATTTTTAACTCCGGGTGCCTCTTGGGTAACTGAACAGTTATGTTACATGAGGGGGGGGGGGGGGGGCTTTGTCCAGGAACACCAGGCCGTTCTCTGTCTATCACACCCACATATCTCCTATAAACACTATACATACCCTGGAAAAAAACGAGGAAAAAAAAAAAGGATGCGATGTGAACAACTAGAACAAGGTAATATACATATAGAGTTTAAATACATGATCGTATTTTAAGGACCCAGAAAATTGGATACTTTTGTAAAGCCCATTTGCAGAAATACTGCCCTACAAAGTCAAAATACAGTAACTGCACAGACATTAAAACAGAGGAAAAGGGTGTTTTGCATTAATCTTAGCTTGGATTATGTAGTTACTGTAATTTCTACTCTGATTTCTTCAAAGCAGAGCATAGTTGAACTAAGATATTTTGTCACAAGCTAAAACAGAGCCAAAGAGGCTCAATTTTGATACAGCATGTGCTTACGATGTTTTGGTTTTGCAGGGCAGACTAATGCCTTGTTTTTTTGGGCATTTACAAATGAATTTTTGAAGCAACGTTTGCTTCTATGATGCGCTGCAATATGCATTTCATTTCATTATTACTGAATTTTGGCTACTAACCACCGTTTTCATGGTGGCCTCATTCTTTAAGAATGTTTACGATGCCAGATTGCAATTCACAACGCCCCAGTTGGAGTTTTCAAACCTGAGCATTAAATATTACATTATTCTTGTTAATAGAAAAAGAGCCCGGATTTATTATTCGTCTTAGCAGGTTTATCAATTGGCTATAAATATTTGATGGCTTTAGGTGCCGTATTTTCTGTCTTTGCAGTGCAGAACAGTAAATAAATATGGCATGGAATTGTACGCAGTGGGAGGCTGGTCTGCCATGCTGTTAGTTCATTTGCCTCGTGCGAGTCATTAAAATCTGTATATCCCCGCCGTGCAGGGCTGGAGCCCGGCTTCTGCCGCTAGCCAAGTGGACAAATGCTGATAAAATCTGCTAAGATACAAATTCCTAATTTTGCTACCTTATCAGCAGAACATTTTGGGAAATTTCTTCATTTAAGAAAAGTATTTAATCTATGAGAATGTTTTGAATATTGGGAATGAGGCTCTTAATGGAAGAACAAGTTCATCCCATGGAATTACTTTACGAAATTGAATCGTTTAAAATGGATTTTCCTGATGAGGTTTAGTGAATAAACAGAAAACAAGGGATGATCTTGTTCCTGGGGCAAATAAAAAATGGGCTGACCAGGTCATTCAGTGAAAAATGGAAAACAGACCCTGGTAACTCCTTAATTCACCTCAGGATCTTTGAATTACCTGAATTATCTCATGATGCCAGTTAAGTCATGACTTCCAGTCAGATTCGAGACCATCTAGCCAGGAGGGCGGCGACACTGAAGGTTCCGGTTAAGGTGACTCCAAACCGGTGGTATAAGGTACAGTCAGGGCCTTCTGCAGCTTGGGCCTGAGAGAGTGATGCAGAATTCTGTGCCAGGGGCAGAAGCCCAGTT